CTTGCACACCTCAGTCTTCAGTGCTGGCTGGCCCACTGGGTCTACCGACTCTCCATTCACCGTGGGCAGTATCATGCCCTGAGTGAACTCTGAAAGACAAAGCCCCATTAATTTCTTGGTAGTAGTCCGAGGACATAAAGCAAACAGTTGTCACAAGCCCGAATTAAGGAAAAGTCTGCATTCTCTTAACCCTCTGGATTATGCCTGACAGATTAACCTAGAGAATACAGCAGCACTATCTTAAAAAGTTTAACCCGCAATGAAAGCGGAAGCATTGTAACTTCTTTAGTGCCCTTCTTCTGTACAAGACTCACTAGTCACAAGACTGGAGTCCTGGCTCTCACTAAAAACGATCATCTTCAAGGCTGGTCAGGATACAAACTCCAACGACAAGATCAGAAGGATGTGGCAGAGACGCCCCCAAGATATCTGGGCTCACCCCTTTGGCTATAACCTTCTCAACTTCCTGGAGGAGGAGGAGGACCAGCCACATTCCAGGATTATTCTCAGTCTTTAGATCAGAGCTTGTCTGATACTGAGTTTCAAATGTAACTTAAAGTTTCCAATAGCCACACCAACAACTTAATGCAGAAGGTCGTTTTACTAGTATAGTTAACCTAATCTTTGTTTGTTTGTTTTGTTTTTTTCTGAGACTGGGTTTCTCTGGGTCTCCTTGCCTGTACTGGACTCACTCTGTAGAACAGGCTGGCCTCAAACTAACAGAGATCCACCTCTGCCCCACATGCTGGGATTAAAGGCATTCGCCACAACTCCTGACTATTGAGATATTTTACACTGGCTTTTTTGGGCTCCATCTTCAAAATCCACTGTTATTTCATATTCACAGCACATCTTACTTGGGTCAGTTACATTTCAAGAGCTTAAGAGCCAACATTATTAGACAACAAAGCTCAAGATCTTTCTCTAACTCAAGAGCTTTTATATAAATTTCAAATGAAACAACCCCCTCCTCCCAGATCATTATCCATCTGCCAAAGGTCAATCCCGACCCTCAGGCAGGGTCTGGCAGGGGAAGACAGCCTCCTCAGGCACAGTGTTCTAAAACGGTACCTGTCTTGAGGGTGCTGATGTAGATTCCCACTGCTTCTCTTAGAAGTTTCGCCCCCTCTTCCTTCATTAAGGCCACGAGATTTGTGTCAGGCTCGTCTTTGGCAAGGCTCACACTAATCTGAGTGAGAGATCAAAAGTAGGTGATAAATGATTTAAGGGACACCATCATGAAATGTGGGGGCTGAGCAATCAAACTGCTGACATCGCCAAAGGAAAGGTGTAGAGCTGGCCTATTAGTACAAGCCCCAACAATGTTCCTTCCCAGCTCCTCTCGCCAGGGCAGATGGTGATGGCTAGATGGTTAGAACCCATTTCCCCAGCTAAAACAAGAGGCTCAAAACTCACAAGTTGCTCTGCAAGTTTCCAAATGGCACACACACACCTGCAGCCTGCACCTCTGAATGCTCAGCCTAAGCCTGGACTATTAATGGTGGGAGATGCCTGCCTTTCACAGATGAGACTACAGATAGAAAGGACTCAGGAAACACAAACCTCTACTTCATCCACGCTGTTTTCGTCAGACAAATTGGGTATTTCCACATGTCCTTTGTATTGCACTCCTGACTTAGAGGTACCTGTCAAAAGCAATAGTTCCATTAGCCTCCTCCTCTGCAGGGAAGGGACGGTCCTGCCAGGGCACTGGTCCACTTAGGCTTCTTTAGACCCCCCATTCTAAGCTGCCCCTCTATTCTCAGAGAACGCCACATGCCAGAAGCAATCAACACACCCCTAATGTCTTTCCTCATCCCATCAGTGGAGATGAGTTATTACAGCATGGCACGGAAGCCACACAGACTGGGCAGTGGTTTACCTCTCCCACAGCATGGCTGGGGCGCCACTGGCATTCGTTCTGTTAGAACACCTGTTCTGAAAACAAGCGTTTAGCCAATGTGACGGGCATGTTTGAGAAGGATTTGATTGTGGCAATTTCACATTTTCTTCTGTGTGAGTTTATCACTGAGAAAAAAGAAGTGAACACAGAGAACTATATCCAGGTGAAGAGAGATGCACAGAAATAAACAAAAGCTCCTTTCTCAAAACATCTGTCAGGTAACGTGTCGTCAGTATGAGATGATCTTTTTGCCTCAGAAGACCTCCTTTCTATGATTTCACAAGAGCCCTCAAGCTGCAACCCCTGTGATGCCCAAGGAAATGTCACGCTTCTTTCAAAGAAAAACACCACCCCAGTTACATCTGGTTTTTTAACTGAATGACTATTGTAGAGTGTGCTATTTTTTAGGGATACATGCTAACTATGACAAACTGACTTTCTATCTCTAGCCTCAGTTTCTCAGTACATAATATAAAAAGGGGACTGGATAAGATTTAGTTCCTTCCAGGCCACAATACTTCAGATAGATTTCAAAAACACAAAAATTATAAACAGATCTATCTACTTTCATCTTCTTTATTATTCATTTTGGAAATTCCATATAGGCCAATTTGTTTTCTCCTAAGGGTATTTTAGAAAGGACATAGAAGATGGCAAAAACAGCCCCAAACTATATTTACAATCAGTTATGATAGTGCAGTGATCCCAGTGCTTGAGAGATAGAGACAGGTGGATCCCTGAGTTCAAGGCCAGCCTGGTCTACAGAGTGAGCTCCAGGAGAACCAGGGCTACACAGAGAAACCCTGACTCAAAAAACCAAAAAAGATAGTGTGCCCACCACTTCTCTGGTGAGAACTGAAGAAACTGATAGAGAACACAAGTAAATGCATTTGGTTCCACAGCAGCACCCAATACTGCTTTCCTCCAATGCAACACTGTCATCTCCCTTCAGGAGTTTTTCAGTTCTCAAAAGCTCCTCTCTAGCATGTCTAAGAGCACTGGAAATGGAGCTAAGGCAGCCTGGCTAATCCTTACCTGTCCAGTTTAGTTTGATGGACCACTCATAAAAGAAGATAAGTTTGCCTTTTCGGTTGTTAATGGATGCCTCTCCATCAATCCTGTTCACTTCTGACACTTCACACTTGCCCTCCTCATTTTCTACTCGAACTGCCAGGAACAAAGTTTTCAGCTTTTCTGTGGACCAATTTGAAGCATCCCTCTCTGTCCTGTAAAAGAGAAGCAGAGCTAAAGGCTATCGGTCAAGGAGAGGACACACAGTTTTATGCAGCAAGCGAATGCAAGGTAAAAGGAAGCAGAAAACAACAATACCCTCTAAATTCTACCCCATCATGTTCACAAACATGCCACCTATAGGAAGCCAAGGGGTTGGTAAGTTTTCGACAAAGACAGGTGCTGCATGAACTAGTGTTAAGTTATACTTTCCAGTCTCAGCGGGATGATCCTTGATTGTTAACATGGCGCCCCCTTTTGGCCAAGAGGAAAGCTGTGACCATACACTGAAGCCAGGCGAGCAAAAGACAGCAAGCATTTTGCCAAGAGCTCCAGCAAAACAAAAAACCAATAATGCTGGCCTCATTAGCAGTGTTCTGGCCTGTCTTATTCAGACTCCGCTACATACAAATGTCCTACAGATTCTATGTCCTCTAGACAGTGTCACAAAGTACACAAGAAAAATTACGTCAAGTACTGTGTTAAAAGGAGACAGGCTGATTTAAAAGAGAGAGAGAAAAGTCATTTCTTTGCCCTTCTAGTAAAGCTATTTAAAAAAGAAAAAAAAAAAAAAAAAAAAGAGCTGCAACTGAGTAACAAAAATACTGCGTGAGTGAAGTTCACTGGCGCTCCAGGTAACACTGCTTCTAGAAGCTTTAATAAAGCCGAGGAAACCTCTATGAACAGCGAGGCTGTAAAGTCATGACTGCCCAGTGACCTGGAGTTACAACAGAACTTAACAGTTCCGGGTGAGAGACTGCATCGTGTTCAGCATCCCGAAGCTCCAAGCGCCCCGCAGATCACATTCTAAAGCTGCCCCCGCTGGACTCAGGCAGTAGTCCCCTATGACTTTTATTTTCACTGTAACCAGCAAAATAACAACTACCGAGTCTCCCACCACAATCAGCAGGGGTTTGGATCTCAAGGACGCCTGCGGCCACGTGTAGGAAGCCGGGCTCAGGCTGGCTGCAGCAACTAGGGCGCTCTGTTCTCTTCGCTCTGAAATTCCTCCTTGGGGACTCAGCGGTCCATGTGGAACCCCTCACCCCCAACACTGCTATGGTGGCGAGGGATGGAGAGTACCCCAGCTTCAGGAAGGACCCACGCCCAATCCCAGAGCAGGGTTGCTTGGGTCCCAAATCTGTACACACCAAGTTCCCAGGCACCCCGATGCCCTAGCCTGGTAACAGTGCTCCTGCGGCCTGTCTTGCTGGCTCTTACCAATGCCAGTTGTTGACGTTGGTGGCGTCCGCCCGCTCTTCCACGATCCAGCGTGGGTCTCCCTCACCCCACTTGGCCATCAGTTCACTTATCTCACCGCTACCAGCTCCCAAGCAGCCGCAGCCACAGCCTCAGGACCGCTCGGTCCCTGCCGCCTGGCAGCGCCTGGAAACTACTAGAAGCGGTAGCAGCACCTCCTGGCTTGCTTTTCCCTCCACCCCCCCTCCCCGCCTTAACTTCCGGCTCCTCCTCGCTCCTACCGGGTACTTCCGTTCCAGTACGCCGAATCGTAGGTTCCGTAAATTTTGGAGTTCCTTCAAACTCTCTTAGTTTACCTTAAAGGGTTTTTAAGTATAGGTCCTCAAACCCCTAATTCTCATCGGACACGAAATATTCCTCTCGTTTTTTCCCTGGGCCCTAAAACGGCCCTACTGAGCCTGATGGGAGTTGTAGTCTTGTTAAACAACTCTTCCGATAACTGCGGAAGGTCACGCTGAAAGGAAAGGAAATGACCTAGCACCATGCGCTATTGTTTCTGGGAATGGTAGTGCAGAAGCCCCGCGGCCCACCGGGAGAACGAAAGGATGACAGAGGTTAAGGAACTACAACTTCCAGAATGCTTTGCGGGCACTCCTTTCATCTTCTTCAGCCTAGCCCGGGACAGTCCCCTTCGGCCCCTTCTCTATGCCGCACAGCCTGTTTAGAAAGGCTGCTCCGGCGGCTGAGCTTGGCGCTGTCCTGAGAGAGAGGGCTCGGTGTGGAAGAGGTGAGGGCGTCCTAAGTCCCTGTCTAGGCCTCGTGTCTACTTGAACCCACCCTCTCCGCATTCTTGTTCTTTCTCTGTCTTCTCTGAGGCATCCCTAAACCCTCACTCCCGATTCTTCTGGTCGGGAACGCTCTTGGGAGCCAGTGTGTGCTCCGATCTGGGGCTTCCAGTGAGCCTCAGCAGCTGGTTGAGAACTCTTTGGTTCTGAACGAGCATGTCCTTTCTCAAGGGCCCTCCAGGCTTTTATGTTTGCTGTAGATGTGTGGCTTTCTGGATGTTCCTCTTGTAGTCCAGCTTCTCGGGTTTCTGTTCTCAAACATCGCCGTACAAACCTAACCTAACTTCTAGCAGCTGTTTTCTACAGTGCCCCGAGGGTTGTGGAGCTTTCTGTTTGTTTTCCCTACGTCTTGTTCCTGTTCTCTCTCATCTGTCACCCTACCCTTCTCCGGCCTCTCGGTGTAAAAGTGACGATAAGAGCAAATCTCCGAAGCATTTTAAATCAGGTTGAAACCCCCTTTTAGTCACTCCGAATATTGTACTGGATTGCTTTGTGCGTTCTTAGAGTTACTAAATTGTTACCATTTTACTGATCGAGTAAATCACGGTATCTTTTGACACTAGAAATACAGAATAATATGTAGCCACTGCTGTCCTCTGGCCAAAGGTTCTAGAAATTCTTTCGTGAAATAATAGGTTTGTTAGACACATTCTCTGATCATTTGTTGGTATCACTGTAAAGATCTGTCTGGTTTTTCCAAAAGTGTGTGGTGCAGGGGGAGAGAAGTCTAGGAACCAGAAGACCTGGATTTGTTGTTTGGAGTAAGGAGTGATTAGTGGTTTTGATGTTTCATACTTTTTTTGGGGGGGAGGGGAGGCACGGACCTCCCTTTCTACCTTTAAGAATTGTTCTCAGGGCAAATGAATGACACTTAATCTTTTTTTTTTTTTTTTTTAATTACAGGTACTATATTCCTTTGATACAAGGGAAATCAACTTTGTGACTTTTGCTTTTAATTCACTTACATGTATTTATTTGTTCAGCCGACTTCCCTAAAATACTTGTATATGAGGAAGGCAATAAGAAAAGACCCATAGCACACTGACACTTAATCTTTAAGATTGCTTTTTAAATGTTTTTTTGGAGGCAGGGAATATAGTTCATTGGTAAAGCGCTTGCCTAAAATATGTGAGGCCCTAAGTTCAGTTGCCAGCACTGCAAAAAATAAAATAAATAAATGCCTCTAGTTTTATCTGAGGTACCATTAAGATTAGGTAGTCAAAGCTAATGGTGGCCATCGCCTTTCTGTCAAGCAGTAAGCACTTTGCGTATATTGTGTAGTTTAGTCCTAATTCTTATAAGGGAGAGTAGTACCTGCTATTCCCATTTTACAGATGAGGAAAAAAGACATGCCAGTGAGATATCAAATACTGAAAAGACATAACCTTAACTGTTTATTTTCTGCTAAGCGCTTTGTTAGGTTTTCTGAATACTATTTATTCTTTACTAAAAGCCAATAAGGCAAGATAGCATCTCTCTTAAGGCTTAGAGAGAGCCATTTACCTTTTGGGTTAAACCACAGTTTGTGCTCTCATCCAGTTTAGTTTGAAATACTTTATTTTTTTTTCTCCCAGAACAACACCTAATTTTAGAGTAGTTATGAGAAGAATTTGGGATCCTTTGGCTAATTGTATATATTTTCTTTTCTTGATCATAATCCCCAAAATTGGCCCTATAATTGGCCAAGTGATTAATAACATAATGAGTTGATGGTACAGGCATGATAATTTTGGTTCTTGTCATTATTTTCCCTTCATTTTTGTCAAGCACTTAAAGAACAGTCTGGAAAAGAGGGACATTTGTTGGCTGTAGTCAACTGTAGTGCTCTCAGAGCTTAGAAGCATGTCTCAGAAGAGAACATACTCAGTAAATGTATGTTCATACATGAATTCACTTATGGGGTGAGCTTTGGCTGATCTTTGTGCTTTAAGCAACATTATGATGACTCCTTAGAAATTTGCCTCTCTTGTAGAATCCCCTTTACTTGGGTACCCTAGCTCTAACGTGATCCTTCAGGAAGACTAAAACTCGTCCTTTGCATAGTTCTCATAACACCTGAGTACTTGAACACAATAAAGGTTTTAGGAATGGGTGTTAGTGGCTAATTGGAATGTCTAACGTGATTTGGTGAGCTAGAAACCCAAGGATGTGACTTATGTGGCAGGTGTTTTACCAAATCTCTTCCTACATTCCTTATTTCTGGAAGTCGTTAGTTGTGGAACACTTTTTGGAGAGATCTGAAAAAGGATCTGTGCTTGTCTTCCTTTCCCTGCAGATGAACCGGACAAAAGGTGATGAGGAAGAATATTGGAACAGCTCCAAGTTCAAGGCTTTCACTTTTGATGATGAAGATGATGAGCTCTCACAGGTTGGCTTACACAAGTGCTAAGGGTCATCCCTTGCTCTTGGCTGCGTCTGTAAAGTTTCTTTCATCTCTAGTAGGCTCATAATGTTAGGTCAAGATCTTCAGAAAAGCCTGCATGTTCGTTAGCTTTCTACAGTTATATGCAATATCCCGGGCGATCAGCTGATCCAGAGAAAAGCCTTCTTTTGGCTCAGTTTTCAAGCTTCTAGATCACGGTTGCTTAGTCCTGTTGATTTGGGTCTAGGATAGGCAGCACATCATGGTGCAATCACACGATAGCGCAAAACTGCTCCCCTCATGGCCAGAAAGCGAAGAGGAATAGGACAGGGCAAGGTCCTACAATCCTCCTTAAGAATACCCTTCCAGAGGCCCAAGGCTCTCCTGCTAGGCTCTACTTCTCAAAGCCTCCTCACAGGGCTACCCCACAGAGCAAATTTATAACACATAGGCTTTTTGGGGACATTCAGAATCCAAACTATATAGTGGCCCATGAAATGTCCCAGCCAGTACAAAGGTGCTTGCCACAATCCTAGTGACCTGAATTTAGTCTCCAGAGTAGACTCCGTAAAGTTGTCTTGCTTAGTTAGGTTTCTGTTGCTGTGATGACCAAATAAGATGATCAGAAGGAACTTGGGGAAGAAATCGTTTATTTCATCTTACAACTCTCTGGCTAGACTCTATCCCTGAGGGAAGTTAGGGCAGGAGCCTGGAGGCACAAACTGAGGCAGAGGAGTGCTGCTTTACTGGCTTGTTCATCCTGCTTTCTTACAACACCCAGGACCACCAGCCAAGGGTGGCACTGCCCACGAGCCAGTCTGGTGGGAGCATTTTCTCAATTGAAGTTTCCTCTTCCCAAGTGCCTCTAGGTTGTTTCAAGTTGACATAAAACTAGTCAGCACCCCCAATGGCCTCCCCTCTTGTGCAGTGGAATGGGCACACCCATACATACACATGATACATACATGCACACACTAAATTAAAATTAAGAACAGAGACAAACTATAGCAACCTTCTTGAAGAGAAGCCCTAAAAAAAAAGCTAGAAAGATTTTACCCTTACTTTTACCTTAAAAAAAAGAATCACAAATTGCCAGGCAGTAGGTAGTGGCACATGCCTTTAATCCCAGCACTTGGGAGGCAGAGACAGGCAAATCTCTATAAGTTCAAGGTCAGCCTGGTATATAGAGTGAGTTCCAGGACACCCAAGGCTACACAAAGAAACCCTGTCTCAGGGAGAAAAAAAAAAAAAAATTAAAAATACCTAAGTAAGATCACAAATCTTTTATTCATGTGACTTAATTTATTGTTGTTATTACTATTTGCTTTGTTAGTGTGTATGAAGACCTTGAACTTCTGATAGTCCTGCCTCTGTCTCCTTTTCACTTCTAAAGAATTTTTATTTTATTTATTTATATGTGAGGGTTCACATGTGCCATTGTTTGTATGTGGAGGCCAGAAAACAGCTTGCAGGAATCAGTTCTTCCTGAAGATTGGGTCCTGCAGATTGAACTCCTTGATGGCAAATGCCTTTACCTGTTGTACTAGCTAGTTTTGTGTGTCACCTTGTCACAAGTTAGAGTCATGAGAGAGAAAGGAGCCTCAGTTGAGGAAATGCCTACATGAGATCCAGCTATAAGGCATTTTCTCAATTAGTGATCAATAGAGGAGGGCCTAGCCCATGGCGGACTGGTGGTTCTGGGTTCTATAAGAAAGCAGGCTGAGCAAGCCAGTAAGCAGCACCCCTTCATGGCCTCTGCATCAGCTCCTGCCTCCAGGTTCCAGTGTTGCTTGAGTTCCTGTCCTGACTTCCTCCAATGATAGACTATGATCTGGAAGTGTAAGCCAGATAAACCTTTCCTCCCTAACTAGCTTTTTGGTCATGCTGTTTTGTCGCAGCAACAGAAACCCTAAGATACCTGCTGAGTCATCTTATAGGATCCTGGCTCTTTTGTTGTTTTATTTTTTCATTTTCTCCCTTCTTTTTCTCATCTTTCTTTCACAATGTCTCACCACAAAGCCCTAGGTGGCCTTAAACTTGTAGCTATCTGTCAGCCTTTGCCTCTGTCTCATGAGTGCTTAAAGATGTGCTATTGGACCCACCATGTCTTTTTTTTTTTTTTTTTTCTAATTTTCTTTTTCTTTCATTATAGCTGCCTCTATATCATGAGTGCTGGATTATAGGCATGGCCCACCACACCCAATTTATATCATTGTTATTTTTGAGATAGAATTTTGTGTTCTTGGGCGCAAGCCATTTTCCTGCTTTTGTCTTCCGGGCAGCTGGAAACATAGGCACACACCACCACACCTTGATAACTTGTTTTTGAAAAAAATGATGTGTTGGGGAATAGTCATTTTTGGAGAAGTGAATAAAATTTACTCAGATTTGCAAACGAGTCATAGTTAGAATATGATAGAATTCAGGAGTAGCTTTGAATCCTGCACTGGACTGCTACAGTGCAGTTTGATTTCTAGGCTGGATTTAGACTACAGATAGTTATTGGCATCATTGAGTCTCACTGCTCAGCCTTCTTGGTTACCAGTGGGCATGAGGGAAGTGAGGACCTTGAGACTACTCTGCTCATGTCCCTCCACAGTTAAAGGAATCCAAACGGGCAGTGAACAGCCTTCGAGACTTCGTGGATGATGACGATGAAGATGACCTGGAACGAGTCAGCTGGACTGGAGAGCCTGTGGGAAGTAAGCCGAGTTGGCTATTAGGGGCTCCTGACAGTAATAAAGGCTGCACTTCTCTGTCTCCTCAGTGCTGGTCAGAAATAGCTCTGCTATTCTCAGATGCTGCAGCCTGGGAGTTAACATCAGGCAGAGCCAGGTGGAGAAACAGAACAACAGTGTTTATGTGGCCCCTGGGCCTGCTGCCCTGCAGTGAAAGCTTCCATGGCTGTTTCAGATTCATGGGTACCTGTTAAAATTACAGGTTCCTAGGCTCTACACTGGAGGGTCTCATTCAGTGGATTTTGTTGGGGAGGGGTGTGTGTGTGTGTGTGTGTGTGTGTGTGTGTGTGTGTGTGTGTGTTGAGAATTGAATGTGTGCTCAACCCTTGAGTCTCAGCTGCAGGTGGTCATACGTGGTCGTGTTCGGGGGCTGTTAACTTACATGCTCATAACAGGTGGGCAGAACTCCAGTCCTTAGCCATCGGTTCTTAATTATAGAATACCACTTAATTTCCTCATAGACTCTAATTCTCTTCTGTCTACTTTTCCAGCTGATTTTAAAAGTGTTTTTAATTAAAAGTTTGTGGGGTTTTTTTGTTTTGTTTTTGTTTTTTATCTAGAAGGTAGTATAGCATGATTTAAAAACAAAAAAAGAAATTGGCCGGGCATGGTGGTGCATGCTTTCAATCCCAGCACTTGGGAGGTAGAGGCAGGCAGATCTCTTGAGTTTGAGGATAGCCTGGTCTACAAAGCAAGTTCCAGAATAGCCAGGGATGCCTGTCTGAAAACAACAACAACAACAAACAAACAAACAAAAGTGAACTAGAAAGAAAAAAAATAAAACAAAACATAACCTAAGATACATATGATATGTTAAATAAGTTATTTTCATAATTGTTCAAGAAATAGAGGCAGAGCATCTTTTCGTAGATTTGAAGGCTGTTTGGATTGGCTTCCATTTATTCATCCCTTTGTCAATTTCTCTAATGATTAGCCTATTTGATTATACCTTTTGTGATGTCTTGCTGTCCAGGGGACCAGAGCCTCTTGAATAGCGGGAGAGTTTGTTGAGTATTGGGTATCGAGCACTGATTTGGAAGATGCTTACTTAGTTCTTGCCATCCTGCAGGTATCTCATGGTCCATCAAAGAGACTGCTGGGAATAGCGGGTCAACCCCTGAGGGACGTGAACAGATAAAGGGCCGAAGCAGCTTCTACACACAACTGCCCAAACCTGCTTCCACCTACTCCCTGAGCAGCTTCTTTAGAGGTAAAGAGTGATGGGTAAGGGACAGGGACCTCATCGGGAACATGCTCAGGCTGATGTTTTCATTGACGGTGAAAGAATTCGTGTTTGAGCAGGCAGCTTAGTACTCGAAGTGGAAGAAATGAGAACTTCCCAGACATTAGCATGAATTTGTAGAACATGAATGAAATTGGCAGACCTATGTTAGGCATTGAAATTTGTCTAGGTCAGAATTCTTCCTTACACTTTATTCCATCCTGTTGGAAACCTTTGTGGGAATATGTACTCATGCAGCTACTGTGGAAGATAGTGTGGCAGTTTCTAAAAAATGTTGAACAAAGGATTAGTGTGTGACCTAGTGTCACTCTTAGATACTTATCAAAAAGAATCCAATGCAGGGGCTTGAGCAGATGTTTGTATGCTAACATTTGAAGCATTATTCAAAAGCCAAAAAGATTGAAGCAGTGTTTATGTGTACTGTGGGCTAAAAGGATGAGCAGAACATGGAGTGTACTGCGATAGACTCTGCTACTTAGTCCTAACAGGGAGTGAAAGACACATGTTATCACAGGGCTAGAGCCTAGGGAATTATACAGGGTGCAGTAAGCAGAAGCAGGCACTGTGTGACCCCTAGAGACAGGGAATTGGAGGGCAGTCTGCTTGGGGCTGCGCTGGAATAGTTACTGTCTACAGGCAGAGTCTCAGGGATGGTGGAAGTCTGGAACTGCCGGTGGTTGTGATTGGAGGACAGTGTGAATGTACTTCGTGCCACTGAATTCTACACTTACAGATAATGAAAAGAGCAAATTTTATATTGTGTATATTTTACCACACTTAAAAATATTTCTCTCTGCACACCCCCGCCACACATATGTCATTACTAGTTCATCAGATTTCTGAGGTTGAATAAAAGCTTTTATTTATTTTTAAGTGTATTTATTTTTATCTGCATGGGTTGTCTTGCCTGCATATATATCTGGGTACCATTTGTATGCCTGGTACCCATGGAGACCGGAAAAGGATGTTGGACTCCTTGAACTGGAGTTACACATGGTTGTGAGCCACTGTGTGGGTATTGGGAATCAAATTCTAGTCCTCTGGAAGAACACCAGTGCTCTTATCTCTGAGTCTCCCCGGTCCTGAATAAAAGTTTTTTCAAATGTATTTTTCTACATTGCATGGTAAGGCGCTATGTGCTCTATGTCCTCAGCCAAGTATGGGTAGTCTGACTTGAACTGTTCGCTTTTTCCTGCTGTGTTCTTTTCCTCAGGTAGAACTAGACCGGGCAGTTTCCAGTCCCTTTCTGATGGTAAGCATCAGTGCCTTTTCTCAGTTGCTCTGGGAGATATTGCTTATTTAGCATACAGCCTGGAGAGTCATGGGGACGGATGGTAATTGAATGAGTAGATTAACTTTCCTCTGAATCTAGAGAAAGTGCCTGGTACTAAGTGAGGAGGTAGAAGTCTCATAGTCTCCATTGTTGGGGATGACTGCTGGGGCTGCAGTCAGAAAAGAATGAACCTTTACCTTTGGCCATGTTGGTCCCCCAGGAGACAAAAGATGTTTTTGTTTTGTTTTGTTTAAAAAAAAAAAAAAGTTCCTGGTGAAGTGACTCAATGTATAGAGGAATTTATACACAGGCTGCTGTCTTAGTCCATGTTAAATTGCTGTGAAAAGATACCATGATGGAAGTAACTATTATAAGAGAAAGCATTTAATTGGGAGCTTGCTTACAGTTTCAGAGGTTTAGTCCATTGTCATCATGGCAGGAAGTATGGCAGCATCATGGTGCAGGAGCAGTAGCTAAGAACTTCATCCTGATCTGTAAACAGAGAGAGACTGACTCTGGGTTTCGCTGGTTTTTGAAACCTGAAAGCCTGCCCCATCAATAGGCTTCCTCCAACAAGGCCACACCTCTTAAACCTTCTAATCCTTTTAAATAGTGCCACTCCCTGGTGACTTAAGCATTCAAATATATGAGCCTGTGGGGCCATTCTTACTCAAACCACCACAGCTACATGACCTGGGTCTGATACCTGATCTCAGAGTTGTCCTCTGACCGCCACGCTCTTAGTATGGCATGCACACCCCCACGTGTGTGTGTGTGCGCAAACACATGCTCATGTACGTACTGACACACACACTTGGGTATGCACACACATAGCATGTCGGAAAATGCACGAGAGGAAAGAGTGATAAGACACAGGCTGTACAATGCCTTCTCAACTGGCTTCTCGTTCTCGTTCCTTTTCAGCTCTGTCAGACACACCTGCCAAAAGTTATGCTCCAGAGATAGGGAGACCTAAGGGAGAATACAGGGTAAGTTCTCTTCCTTACCCCTCTATTACTTACTTTTAAAGTTAGATTTACTCATTCATTCATTCATTCATTCATTCATTCATTCGGTGTGTGTGCACATGTATGCACTCTCCTGGTGTAAGTATGGAGCTCAGAGGACAACTTGTGGGAGTTGCTTCTCTTCTTCCATCATGTGGGATCTGGAGCTTGAACTTAGGTCATTGGGTTTGGCAGCAAGTGACTCCTGAAAAATCATGTCACCAGCCTTTTTTTTTTTTTTTTTTTTTTTTTTTTTTAAGTAGGTCTTTCTCTGTAGTCCACCCTGGAGCCTGGTACCCACTAGATAGTCCATACTTGTCTGGAACTTACAGTAATTCTTCGGCCTCATTCTTTGGAGTGCTGAGATGATTGTTGTGATCCTGTATATCTTAATGTTGGTGTGACACAGCATCCAGTACCTCGTTTAATTTTCCCAACTCTCTGAGCAGCTGCTGCAGTCATGTCACCGAATGACAGGGATACTTTCTGAGAAGTGCGCGATGAGGTAGCTTCATCTTTGCGCACACTACTTGACAACAGGAAACTTACAGCTCTATTTAAATCTATGGGACTGTCATTTTAAATGCATTGTCCAAAGTGTCATTATGTGGCACGTGACCCCTTTTATAGCAAGAAAATTGCTCTTTCAACTGTAGACGTTAGTTGTAGTCTCACAGCCAGGAAAGGATAGAACTTGGACCCCAAATCTGTATTTACTGACACAGATTCCATGAAACATTCTAAACAAGAAAACTGATTCAGAGGGAAGAGGTTTTTTGTTTTGTTTTGTTTTTAAGGTTCTTCGAGACAGGGTTTCTCCGTGTAGCCTTGGCTGTCTTGGACTTTGTAGACCAGGCTGGCCTTGAACTCAGAGCAATCTGCCTGCCTCTGAGTGCTGGGATTAAAGGCATGCAGCACCACTGCCACCACCACCACCTGGCTAAGAAACTATATTCTAAGATCAAAAGGGGGCTCTGCATCAAATGTCTTTCCTTTTCCTGGCAGATGATACTGACTCCTGGGGCCTCAGGTGCTACTGGTTGCATAGAGAGTTTAGAGGCCTGAGCCAGTAGGCCGAAGGTTCTGGCCTTTGTTATTGGTCTCAGCCTTCTACCGTCTGTGCCACCCTTGCTCTAGTTCCTTTAGAAATTGAAACCAAGACCTGAGTCAAAACAGGACCATTCCAGGATTTTTTTAGGGGGCGGGGGCTAATTTTTTTTTTTTTTTTAAATCAATTCTTTTCCACAGAGTATTTCTTCCATAGGGGCAAATATTGAATTTGCAGCATGGAGCTGGTACACTAGCCATGCTGAGTCCTTAACGTATGGTTCATCTGTTGCTAATATTCCAGGATTACAGCAATGACTGGAGCCCCAGTGATACGGTGCGACGCCTCCGCAGGGGCAAGGTAAGGTTACCGAAGAGAAAAATCTTACAGGCTTCTTTGGCAAGGTGGGTAGCGTGTTCCCATAGGAAGGGTTTATGACATCCTTTCTACTTCCCATTTCTGAAGTGGACTGGTGTTCAGGAGTAGCAAATCCATTACAGTTAGAGCCACCTGCAAAAGTTTGCTCCTCTGGGGAGTTGCTTTGCCAGCAAAGGAAAAACCGCAGTGGATGAGAGTAGCTGTGTGTGGTAGAGCATGCTGTAATCCCAGCACTTGGTGAGGCTGAGGCAGGACAACAGGAAGTGTAACACCACCCTGGGATGCTTGGCAAGTGTGAGGACAGCCTGGGTGCATAGTGGAGACCCTCTCTATGGTGTGGGATAAGTGATGGGTTAATTTTTTTTTTTAATAGATCCCAATCTTAGCACTGTTGAAAAGAAAACTTTATTTTTCATTGAAGTTTGGGAGTATTTTTTTATTTTTTGAAACTCGATTATTTAGTGACATTCTTTCTTGTGTGAAAGACAGAACCGCAGTAACTGGGAGATGAGTGGTTGGTGGGCCAGGAACAGGAGGGCTATTACTGTCAACGTGGACAAAGGGCCTATTTAAGGGTGATAGCAGAGTTCTTTTTCTCTGTCTTAGTGTCGTAGTGGTTACTAGGGTGTAGGCACTTTCAAAGCTGAGCTATACACTTGCATAGGGTAGGTTTTATTATATAAAACTATATATGAAGAAAAAAATAAATGATAATGTGTTGGCTTGGTCAAGACTTGAAGACATCAGGGTCCTACAGGGCGTCACATTGAACTGGATAGGGAATGGTGGGACCTTCAGGCTCACGGAGCACAGAGATCAGTGTTTAACACAGTGGTCCTCTCTGAATGCTTCCTTTCATTGTTGCCCTTCCCTCACTATCTGGTGACAAAGGGATAAAGGCAATGGTCTTCCTCACACACTCTTTGTGTTCTGCTCTGCAGGTCTGCTCACTAGAGCGATTCCGCTCCTTGCAAGACAAGCTGCAACTCCTAGAGGAGGCAGTAAGCATGCATGACGGAAACGTCATCACTGCAGTGAGTATGAGGTTTGAAAATTCAGTCAAAACTGACTTCACTGTTTGCATTACATGGCAAAAGCCTGGCTTTCTCTCTGAGGCATAGGATCCTCAGAAAGCTGTGCTCCTGGCTGGGGGGTGGGGGTTACGTGTATTCTGTGTGGAACTGCTCATTGTAACTAGAAAACAGTAGGCAGGTTGCTCTATATTATGCAAAGTATTATGGCAGCGGAACTGTGTAGAGAGTAGTTTCTGAGCAGATGGGGGTGGAGCCTTTCAGCCCAAGTGGACACCTAGGTGACAGCTCAATTCCAGAAGTCCAACCTTTCTTTCTGCCCCACAGAGAGGGTGTGTCTGCCTACAGTGATCCCTAACAGGTCACTGGCCTCATTCCTAGACATGGCTGGTGAGGGCAGCCTTTGTAAGAGGATGGATAGTCTTTGTCTCTTGTTTTCTAGGTTCTGATCTTCCTGAAGAGGACCCTGAGCAAAGGTGAGCATGGTTTGAAGGAAGTCTTCACTCAGCAGTGGATATGGCTTTTATAGCAGAATTCACCAGCATCAAGTCTGGTTCAGAGAAAGCTGGGGTGGCCTGGATTCTGAGAGCACACATCACATCCTTTAAGGGCAGCCTTTATGGTGGGGGCTGTATTAGTCTCCTCTCTCTTCGTGGGCAACACATGAGCTATGTGTTTGAGGAATTGAAAAATCCCTGTTCTTAGTGTTACTAAGAACTGAAAGGCTGATGGAGTGGGCTATGTATTGCTCTAGAGCAGTGGTTCTCCACCTGTGGGTCATGACCCCTCTGGGGATTGAATGATTCCTTCACAACAATCACATATCAGATATCCTGCATATCAGATATTTACATTACAATTCATAACAGAGGCAAAATTACAGTTATGAAGTAATAAATAATTTTATGGTTGGGGTCACCACAACATGAACTTTATTAAAGGGATGCAGCATTGGGAAGGTTGAGAACCACCACCCTAGAGCATAGAGGCTGTTAATGATGGTGGGCTGAGACCAGGAGGAAACCATCCTTCGCTTTTGTTGGGCTTACAGCAGATGATGGTTGGGCTGCGTGAGTGGAGAGACCAGTCTCAGGTTTAAGTGCTAGGAAGCTTTACTTCTTTCTCCACCTTACTTTTTCCTGAATGCCAGAAATCCTTTTCCGAGAGCTGGAGGTACGCCAGGTCGCCCTGAGACATCTCATTCATTTCCTTAAAGAAATAGGAGACCAAAAGCTGCTTTTAGATCTCTTCAGGTAAGAACTGGGCTTCTGGTCTATGAAGTTTACCAGGTTCATTTTCAGAGCATTTGGGGGTTGCAAAGAAATTGAAGACACTGTCCTTTTCCAGAAACACCCAGAAAACAAGATCTTGAAATGTGTTGGGACAGTTACAAGACCATGCAGTCTGGTGGAATGGCAGGGTGTTAAAAACAAGACCCCACAGTCAAACACACCTGGACTGCATATGGTTGTTACCTGTTATTCTGTTACCTTGAGCAAGTCACTAGACTTGGTGAGAGTGGGCTTTTCCTCCTGTAAAATGGAGGTGGTGATGTCTACTGCCTAGAGTAATGAAAACTGAAGTTAGTAGCTACCATTATCGTGTTGTATTAATCAGTGTTTGCTAAGCATTTTCTTATAAAATCCTTGTTGTAAATAAAAAATGGGCTGTTAGGCTATTTATTATTTATTATTAGCCCTATCTTTGTTATGGTGGTGTTATTTAACACTCTGTCACAAATAATAAGCCACAAACACCTGTTAGATTTTATAATTGCCTATTTACCTTGGGCTGGGCAGATTTTTCAGTCTATGCTATCTCAATAACCTCTGAACTACCTTCTATCCATAATATAATAATATCTGGGCTACCTTTCATCCATAATCTTATGAATACTTGCTTATATTTGGTGTTTTTTTCATTCATGCCATCCTTGGCTTCCTTCCTCCTGGTCCACATGGTTTCTTCCCCATGCTAACCCATCATAGCATCCTCCTTCCTCCTCTCTTCCCATTCGTCTGTCTTCCGTTATTCTCCAGTCCTCAAAAGCCCTGGAACCTTAGCCATGCCTACCCCACTCTGCCTTGCCCAGGTATCAGCCATTTAATCATCCAGTCAGACAGGTTACACAACAAGGATAGGTATATGCAGGCAATAACCAGATCTTGAGAGCCAGTAATTGTATCAAAATAAAAGCATCATACCAACTTCCAACAAACCCTCGATTATAGGTGCCCTCCTCTTGTTCCAGTGTTGCAAGTGAGTACAGTAGAAAAAGAAGGAGCTATTGTTTTCCAGGGAGGATCATCAAAGCATTAGGATTTGGGTTGCATTGGGAGGCTAGGTGAGAGGTGGACTCTCTGCTTGGTGGCTGTCTTTTTTCCTCTGTTTCATTGCAGTAAATGGGGATGATTTCTTCCTCTTGGAATAAACTGTATGCATGTTTTATCCTTTCCTCAGTGTCAGAGAAGGTGTGAAAACCTCTGCTTAGGTTTTGTGGCCCAGAGAAACTCATTTACCCTGTGGCCAGAACAGTGATGATCTGCCCCACAGACTGGCGTGGGAAAGCAGTTTACCTGGTTAGGTCAGAAGGAATCTGCCAAAGAAGACATGCTCACAGAAGCAGGCTGTTTGCTTGGCTTTCCTTCCCAGTCAAGGAAGTCTTGTCAAGCATCCTTTCTATGTCAAGGCAATGTTGTTAATTATGGCCTATTCAGAATATGGAAGAAACAGAAGACCTGCTGCATTATACTCTATATATGAATGGAATGAAGAATTGTGTAGAGTGCCTGTTTCCAAGGTTGTTTTGACAGAAATGTAAGAGTAGGGCTTACCTCAGTATGTAGGAGATGAGCAGAACTGTGTTTCTTTTAGAGTTCGTCTCTAATGAGAGGAAATGTCACACCTCAGTAGATTAAACTCTCTCACTCCCTTCTGCTTTTCCCCAGGTTCCTGGATAGAACAGAAGAGCTGGCGGTAAGTGTGGTGTTTGTTTCTATTGGGAATCTATTTACCAGGCATCTAAGTCAAAACCCAGCCTAGATGCCAAGCTCTCCTGCTGGAGTTGTTTTCTTTTCTTTGTTGATGAGATCTAGAAGACGGGCACCTAGGAAGTGACACTCTGCTCAACTTACTCCCTAAACACGCACATAACCATCTATAGTTCAGGAGGACTCTGAGAGTAAGGAATTTGGGGTTTTAGAGCATAGAAATTCTACTTACAAGCTAGGAAGATGATTCAGTGGCTAAAGTGCTTTCTGTGAAAGCATGAGACCCTTAGTTTGGATTCCCAGGACTGCTGTAAGGTTTCTGTGCAGTGGGGATTCATCTGTAAGCCCAGTGCTGAGGCAGTGGAGACAAAGGATGCCAGACACTTGCTGGCCAGGTAGTCTGGCTTCAGGTGCAGTGAGAGACCATGGTTCAGAAGAGAAGGGGAATGGACTGAAGAGATGGCTCAGCAGTTTAGAGTGTGCATTGCTCTTGCAGGGGATTAGGATTCTGTTCCCAGCACATACATCAGGCAGCTCATAACCACCTGTAACTCCAGTTCCAGGGCATCTGATGTCCTGGCTCCTCAGGCACCTGCACTCAAGCACATGCACAGGCTGAAAATACACTCATAAAGGATAATGTGGAGAGCAATAAAGAGCCAGATACTGGCCTCTGGCTCTTACACATACACAGACACAGGCAAGTACATACATACCACACACACACATCCACCTAGTGTTCTCTCTCCCTCTTTGCTTTTCTATGTACATGTATATGCACATATGTGTGCTTAGACAAGTACTATAGCTCCGAGTGATAGCCCAGTTCCCTCTCTCTTTTAAAGAGATGTGATAGCTCAGAATTCTCTCTCTCTCTCTCTCTCTCTTTTTTTTTTTTTTTTTTTTTTTTTTTTTTTTTTTTTTTTTTTTTTTTGTAGCTATCCCATTATCGAGAGCATTTGAACATTCAGGACCCTGAAAAACGAAAAGAATTTCTTAAGACTTGCATAGGGTAAGTATGGGGGAAGGTAGTTCTGTATAGCTGTAAGAAGAAGAAAAGGAGGATGGAATGGGTGGTTCAGAAGGGAAGGAAAAGGACGAATCACATGGGCACTGTTTGAAGGTCGACTCCCTCAGTGGCTCGGAAACAGCAGTCTCCAGCAGAGTTTTCACTGATTGGAGGAGACCTGAGACAAGGGAGCCACATAGGCCCTTCCCTAAAGCTAAACATACTGAATCAGAAGGACTGTCTTTGTTCTGGGCCTTTAGTTCTCACATATCCCCTCCTTTTGGCAATAAATTTGGTGATTTTTTTCAATGGCTTATTTATTTTATATGCATTGGTGTTTTGCCCGCATGTATGTCATATGAGGGTGTCATATCCCCTGGAACTGGAGCTACAGACAGCTGTGAGCTGCTGTGTGGGTGCTGGGAATTGAACGTAGGACCTCTGGAAGAACAACTGTTGCTCTTAGCCGCTGGGCCATCTCTCCAACCCCAATGATAAACTTTCTATGATTTAACATAATAAAAATTAGAGGTGACAGCTCTTCATGGAGCTTGAGTATTTTTTCTTGTTAGGGGTCCTGAAGCCCCAAGTCTCAGGACTGCTGCTGTAGTGCTGTTTTCATCCAAGCGCAAGCCCCAGATGTTAACTGCTCTGCTAATGGGATGCTCACTGCTCCCATCAGTGACTCATCATCTTGTTGGCCTGCCTTCATCATAGGAAAGCACATCCTTATGTTAAGCTGAAATGTGCTTCTTGGTGTCTAGCCACATAACTATGTAGCCTCCCAGTATCCCCTGCTTCTCAAGGTTCAGCGTTCACAGTTATTTCAGCCATTCCTCGTGGAAGGATTTCCCAGGTTACGTTTAGAGTTTACTTGACTCTGAAATGCCTACTTGTAATGTTACCACATTGAAAGCTGTGGTTCACACTTACCTCGATCAGTATAATTGATTTCAGAATTCTTTCTGCAGTGAGTAGAGGAACAGGCATCATTGATGAATAGTCTGATGGATGGTTGTCTGGGCTCGGTAGCCCTGTAACCCACTCATCAAATATCTAATGAATAAGTAAGCTGAGTCTTACTCCACAGCAAGTTCACTTACAACTGTGCATTTTGTGGACTTTGAGGAGATCCCTTTTGAGTTTTCAAAGTCTCAGTACCTCTCTTTTGAAACAGAGTATCATATAGCTCAGGCTGGCCTCAAATTCCCTCTGTAGCCAAGTATGGCCTTGATAATTCTGCTTCTCATGTCTCCACCTTGGGAAGCTAGAGTAATAGGCATATACACCTCACCTGGTCTATGCAGTTGGCAATTGAACCTGAGGCTTCGTGCATGCTAGGCAAGCACTGTATCAACTGAACTCTACCCCAGCTCCAGTCGGCAAACCTCAGATAAAACATTCAGGCCAAAGCCGCCTCTATTTTCTGCTTTTCTGTCTTAAAGGACACTGAGCAGGTGCACTGAGATCAGACTTGTTGGAAATCATGAGCCTTGGAATGTTTTAGTGAACATTTGGTTTAGGTGGGTTTGTTTGATTTTCACATAGAAAAAGGTACTAACCTTGTGGCCCTTTACCAGTTTGCCATTTTCAGCAGAAGATTCTGCACACGTCCAAGACCATTACACGCTCCTGGAACGCCAGATCATCATTGAGGTTAGATCCCGTCTCTGCCCAGGCTCAGTCATTTAGCATCTAGACCGTTCCTTTGCTCTGCACATGTCATTTTCTGGCACAGCCTTTTACTTCCTGTCTGAGTTTTTCTTGATTGTCCTTAAGCATCCTTTTCCCTCTTACCTGCTGCTAGCCTAGAAGAATTTACTATTTTTCCTTATTCCAAATTGTGAAATTTCTCCTTTTCCTCCTTCCCTCCTTTCTTTTCTTTCTTCCCTCCTTGCTTTCTTTGTTTCTTTTTTCCTTTTTGTTTTGAGACAGGCTCCCATAGAGCCCAGGCTGGCCTAGAACTCACTATGTAATGAGGCCATGAACTCCTGACCTTACTGCTTCCCTCTTTCAAGTGCTAGGATTACAAGCATGCAACACCAAGCTGAGCTGTTGAAGTATCTTATTAAATTTAAAATCTGTGATCTGTTTATGGATTTTAGATTTCTCCGAGATTTCCTAAGCAATTTCTATGCTTTACTTTCTTTGCTTCACTCCTGGGGTGGAAAACAGAACTGCTGAGTAGTTCAGATTTTCTCCCTGTCTCCTTGTGGACATTGTTCCTTTTTTCCCTTGGCTCACTCCACCACAGGCAAATGACCGACATCTAGAGTCTGCAGGGCAGACTGAGATCTTCCGAAAGCACCCCCGTAAAGCTTCCATCCTCAACATGCCGCTAGTCACGACACTCTTCTACGCCTGCTTCTATCACTACACGGAGTCCGAGGTACAAGCGGAGTAAGAACGGAGCATTTCAAATCCAGTATTGTGAGGTATTGTCAGTGGGCTTGTGTAGTTTTCAGAAATCATCCATAAACGTTTCAGGCCCTCAGCAAGAGTGAGCCAAGAGGGTCAAAGGTTTATGGGTTTGTGTGGCCCTATGTGGTTGGCACACTAGCAGGGCACCCAGTGTCTTGGGTTCTGGCTCCCTTAGCAGAAACATGAAGAAGAGCTGTGTCAGGTAGCTGTGGAAAGCTCTCTAATTACAAAAAAACAAACAACAACAAAAAACCATTTTATGTGTATAGGTGTTACTATTTGCTTGTTTATTTTGTTTGTTTGGTTTTGTTTTTTTGAGACAGGGTTTCTCTGTATAACCCTGACTATCTTGGAACTTACATGCTCTGTAGACCATGCTACCCTTGAACTCACAGAGATCTGCCTGTCTCTGCCTCCCAAGTGCTGGGATTAAAGGCGTGTGTGGGGGTGTTTTTCCTGCATGTATGACTGGGTACCTGTACATGCCTGGTACCCATGTCAGCCAAACAGGGTGTCTGGTCCCCTGCGACTGCAATTACAGGTAGTTGTGAGCTGCCATGTGCATGCTGAGAGTTGGAGTCAAGTCTTCTGCGAGAGCAGCCAGGGCTCTTAGCCACTGAGTCGCTTCTCTAAAAGTCCAGACTTGACTTAACCCTCACAAGTGTGCTGTTGTCTCAGGTGGGTTAACAGAAGAATCGAAACAGCGCCGTACTCCGTACTCACTCGTCTTCCTCCTGATAAAGTAGATTGTGTGGTATTTCATGAGGCCAAACGCAGACTTTCTTAGAAATTCATTTCTGGGTGTAAGTGGTTCACAGTTGACACTGTGTTCTAGAAAAGAACAGGGTTTGCTGGTTTCCCTGAAGTTTCTTCTCACGCTTTATCCTAGGGGACCTTCAGCAGTCCCGTCAACCTGAAGAAGACATTCAAGGTAGCAGTGCATTGTCTGGCTGAGTAGAATCAGAGCGCTACCTGGAGCGTATGGTGCTTAGAAACCGCGCACTGAGGCTTTTGGTGTCCAGGGCTGACATAGAAGGCAGGAGCTTATGGGAAGTGAGAGGGAAGTTACTGTTGTGAGCTACAGCAGCATGGAGCTTTAAAGACAAGGGGGTTCTGATGACCTGCAGAATTTCTTGCTTTTAAGGGACAGGATCACTGTCAGCCAATCCATATGCTTTTCTCACATTTTAAAGCATTTAATGGACGCATTTCTATTTCTCCTCTTACTTTTTCCTGGTTTCTGCTCTTCAGATCCCAGACAAACAGTATGTGCTGACAGCCTTGGCTGCTCGTGCCAAGCTTCGAGCCTGGAATGATGTCGATGCCCTCTTCACCACAAAGGTGGGTGTCCTGACACTTGTCTTCATAGGTCTGTAAGTGCCAGGCCAGTGAGTCCTTTTCCAGTTTCCGTTTCCAAAATGTTAAATGTAAAGAAAATCTGAAAGAGTGTAATAACAATTATTTCTACCTACAACACATTTTACTCTATTATTTAGCTTTTTGTTTTTATACACATTTTTTAGAACCATTTGAAAGTAAACTTATACAATACTTTCCCTTTAATATTCAAGCATTTGTCTCATAAGTATTACATCTCAAGAAATGTAATTATTTGTTTATCTTGAAATGTAGGAATTTAAGATTTACTTTTATTTTATGTGCATACACATTGGCCTGCATGTCTAGGGTGGTCAGAAGAGGGCATTTTGTCCCCTAGAACTGGAGCTATAGATGGTAGTGAGCCATCATGTGGGTGCTGGGAATTGAAGCAAGGTCATCTCAAAATATCTGCTGTCCTTTCTTTCAGAACTGGCTGGGTTACACCAAGAAGAGAGCACCCATTGGCTTCCATCGAGTTGTGGAGATTTTGCACAAGAACAGTGCCCCTGTTCAGGTAATGGCTCTGAGAAAGAGCTAGTGATAGGGACCTGAGCAATGGTCATTTTCTTAGTGGAAGTTCTGTGGCTGCTGGGCCCTGAGCTTGAAAAGGGTAGAAGGAACATTCTCTTCACAAGTAACCTCAGACCCTCTTTGAGGAGCAACTGTAGTGGCTAGTCATATGAAGAACTGTTCACTGTTCAGATGATTCAGAGGAGTCCTTGTAGGCAAGGACATGGGAGTGCAATAGGCCTGCCCTGACCACTCTAGAGCACTGTGGCCTGTGTAGCTGGCTTCAGGGTAAGGAGGCCTGCTGTTCCCTTTTCTTCTGAGGTGTCAGGGATGTGCTCCAAGCATCACCTCATTTCCCACTGCAAAACCATGGCTCAGAGTGGCACTTGCAGACGTCAAGTGTTGAATTCTCTCTTCCTTAGAACTTAATTTTTCTCCTTAGGGAGCCCTGTGTTTCTGTCATTAACCAGAGTCCCTTTTCCTACAGATACTGCAGGAATATGTCAATCTGGTGGAAGATGTGGACACAAAGTTGAACTTAGCCACTAAGTTCAAGTGCCATGATGTTGTCATTGATGTGAGTCCCCAAGAAGTGAGAACCCTGAGTTAGGTCCTGGGTGGATAGTCAGGGATGGAACATTAGCCCTGGATCCTGAAATGTTCCAGTGGTTTTGACTGAATGGACAAAATAGTCTGGTAAGAATTGGTTTGGAGACCAACACTTCTGTATTGTTTTCCCAGTCTTTCAGACTAAATCCTCAGCTTTTAGTTTACATTTGGAATCATTAAACTGAATCAAGCTAGGGCTGGAGAGATGGCTCAGAGGTTAAGAGCTCTGGCTTTTCTTCCAGAGGTCCTGAGTTCAATTCCCAGCAAGCACATGGTAGCTCACAACCATCAGTGAGATTTGGTGCCCTCTTCTGGCTTGCAGGCACATGTGCAGGCAGAACATTGTATACATAATAAATAAATAAATCTTTAAAAAAAAAAAAAAAAAAAAAAAAAAAAAAAAAAAAAAAAAAAAAAAACCTGAAACAAGTTATATGAGCTCTGTGGCTTTCTGTCCAGCATGGAGCTCTGGGAGCTTTATACACATCATCTTACTCTAATCTGTCGTCCTTTCCTTGAGCCCAGGGGCAAAGAAACAGTGGCAGAAAGAGTAAGCCCTTCCTAGAGAAGGCTGAGTAGGGATTTGATTGTGTTTTGGTGTACAGACCTGCCGAGACCTGAAGGATCGTCAGCAGTTGCTTGCATACAGGAGCAAAGTAGATAAAGGATCTGCTGAGGAAGAGAAAATCGACAGCGTTCTTAGCAGCGTGGTAAGCAACTCCACTCACCCTCCGGTGAGCTTAGGGGACCGCTCACAAGGTAGTCTCGAGTATGCTCCCAAGACCAAGGCGGATGCACTTAGCTGGGACACGTGGATACAGCACTCACCTGTGGCTAAAGTGGCAAAAGGACGATTTTGAGAGAAGTCACTCTTGAGATGTGAAGTGATAGAAAAATAACCAGAAGAACTCAGCCTGAAGCTTAACTGTGATAAACTGATCATTGTTAAACCTAGCCAACAGCCGGAACTACAGACTCAGTCTCCAGGCTGTGTGGTCACATGGTTGTGACCAGCCTGTTGAAAAATAAGAGAATGATATAGAATTAGCTATTTGGAAAGTCCGGCTGGTTATCTCTCACAATATGAAATCACTGAGCTTTTCATTAGCATGGAACTTACAATTAGGTGCTTGACCCCTGTGCTTGGTCACCTAGTAGTGAATCTCAGCACTAAGGAGAGTGAGAGAGGCAGAGGTGGGCAGATCCCTAGGGCTCATTGACCGGCCAGCTCGCCTAGCCCAATTGGCAAGTTCCAGGTTACTAAAGAGCCTGTTTCACAAAATAAGGTAGATAGCATCTGAAGAATGATACCTGAGTTGACCTCTGTCCTTAACACATGAGCATGTGTCACAGAGTTAGAAAATGACTCTTTGCTGGTACATGTCTACAATCCCTTATACTTGGACATCAGGAGTATGAGGTTAGCCTGTGATATACACTTGAGTTCCAGGCTAGACTGGGCTACATAGAGACAGCTTGCCCCAAACAGACAACAAAACTCAACAGCCCCCAATTCAATCCTTATTCCATTTCCTCTCCCTCATTGTAGTGATAAGTGAAAACTAACCACACTTCTTTTGCTGTCTGCTTTTTTTCACAGCAAATTCGATGGAAGAACTAAACCCTGAAACCTGCCTCACTTCTTACTTTTCTGCCTATGAAAACAGCTCTCTATGAAAACAGAGAGTCACAGCATTCTGCCACTTTGAGCCTGTCATTCACAGGTGGTGTCTGCTGGTTTAGGGACAGAAACTAGCATCTGAGCACATATATCTTCAGACTGACATGTCCAAGGGACATTATCTCAAGGCCAGTAGTAAGGCTCCGCCTCACAAGGAAGATGTTCTGCACCTGGTGCTCGCACATAGGTGGGAGCCCATCCTGGGTAAGAGAAAGTGACTGCTTCAGAGGGACATCTGGACTAAGAGCTAGAGGTGTCTCAGGATGGTTGTGACATTCCTGTGTCATTTCATTCCTCTCAGCTGTTGTGACACAGAACCTGGTGTTGGATATCACGTTTCTGCTCTAAAGGACATCAGGACAGAATGAAACTGACTCTTCAGGACCTCAGGAATGGATACCTGTATTGCTCAGGACATGCTGGAAACCAGACTCAAATTCTCAAGGCACGGGGCCACACATTTATGACAGGCACTTCCTAGACATTGTGTATCTCCAGGCAGTACCCAGCTGTTGTCCCTGTCAACTTTCTGTTCATGACTTGGTCCCTCTCTCACCTGCACACTGTCCAGGTGGCCAGCCATCTGCTTCAGCTTGTCCTCTGCTTCTGTCTCAGATTCAGTCTTAAACGGAACTCAGATTCACCAGTGCTGGACCACTCTTCTTTTGGGCCAAAATCATTTCACCAGAAGCAGCCACAAGTCTGACCTGAGCTGATATGGCAGCACTTCCACTCAGATATCTTCACATAGGTCCCACTCCCCACCTGGCCTGCTGGGGACAGCAGCACTGTTCCATTCCGCCCTGTGCCTCCCTGAACTGGATCTTCCCGATATGCCTAAACTCCTAATAAAACTGTTGCGCTCTTGGGGCTTCTCTTTCCCATCTGGTTACTTAGTGCACATTGCTGAGCTAATTGCTCAGTGTCCTGTCACATCTATGACCGTCAGCAGCCTGTCAACACATCACGTTAGTGTGACAGCAAGGCAGGAGTGTATGTTTACTAGTACAAGTCCAAGAGCCAGAAGGCCTGACTTTCTGCCCCAGCTCTAATGCTGACAGTCCAGTGCTGGGGAGAGCCCCTTATTCTGTGGGCCCACTTCATCGGTAGAAAAAGAGCACAATGGTCTGTGACTGTAGTTCTGCACTCAGGACAAGTGGGTGAGGTGGTAGGAAAACAGGTGATACAGCGCCCAGCCTGCTCTGGTCTAACACTGTACTTCTTAGCCGAAGGCAGTTTGGGCTGCAGGAAACATTTGGCAATGTCTGAAGGCACTTTTTATTGCCAGACTTGGGAGTATGTTGGTAAATATCCTGTTATGCACAGTACAAGCCTCCAAGGGAAGAATTACTGTGTTTAAAACGTTAGTAACAGCAGTGTTTAACCTGCTTTGGGGCTGGAAAGATGGCTCTGGGTAGTGCTTGCCACCAAGTTTCAAGACTTGAATTTGATCTTGAGGCCCCACATGGTAGAAGGCTAGAACTGACTCCCATAAGTTTTCTTTTGACCTTCAAATGTTCAGAGTACACGTGTGCATATACATACGTGTATGCATACACATGTTAAATCTGCTTTAAAGGAATCAGGTTGCACCCTGTGCAGTTTACAGTCATCTGTATTCCAGGTGGCCTCATGCGTTCCTACTTCCCTGAGAATCTGTTCTCACTCGCTGAAGTGGGTTTCATTTTCTAGCGGGTCCGACTTCGGTAGAGAAGCAGAAGCACTAGGGGTGCACAGAGTTTTTATCCAACCTCCCCATACACTTGGTTACAAGGGATTTGACCTCAGCCAAGATGGTGGCTAATGGTCTGTATTAAGTGGTTCCTAGCTATAAAGGGAGGGGCGGCACACCAAAAGTCTAGAATTGAGAGTTACTATCTTAGGGTTACTGTTGCTGTGATGATGAAACACTGACCAAAGCAAGTTGGGAAGGAAAGGATTTATTTAGCTTACACTTCCATATCACTGTTCATCAAGGAAGTCAGTCAGGGTGGGACTCAAAACAGGACAGGAACGGATGCAGAGGCCATGGAGGGGCCCAGCTCACTCACTGGCTTGCTCCTCCTGGCTTGCTCAGCCTGCTTGTAGAGCCCAGGACCATCAACCCAGGAATGGCACCACCCACAATGGGCTGGACTATCCCCCATCAATCACTAACTGAGAGAATACCTTGGCAGGTGTGATAGCAAATTTGTAATCCCAGCACTCCAGAGGCAGTCAGATCTCTTGAGTTTGAGGCCAGCCTGGTCTACAAAGCAAGTCCAGGACAAACCAGGGCTACACAGAGAAACTCTGTCTCGAAAAAAAACAAAAGATAACAAGAGAAAATGCCTTACAGCTGGAGCTTTTGGTTCCCTCCTTTCAGATAACTCCAGCTTTTGACAAATTGACAGAAAGCCAGCCAGCCAGGTCTACAAAGAAAGTCCAGGACATCCAAGGCTACACAGAGAAATCCTGTCTCGAAAAAAAGAAAAAAAAAGTAATTTTATTTTACATGAATTTCACCTCGATTTTTTTAACCTAATGAGACTTAGAGACTGAGTAGTTTTAAACTCTGACTTCAGCCTTGATTGCTACAAGATTGTTTATTGAACAACAACAACAAAAAAAAAAAAGTGTTGTATGCTAAGGGATAGAATAGCAGTGCTTGCCCAGCAGGTGCAAGGCTTTGGATTCAGCCCTCAACACAGCAAGTTTCCTTTGCAGAATGTTATGATACATCCCTGTAGTCTCAGCTTTTTAAGACACGGAATCATATTTAATGAGTCACTGTAAAGAAAGGGGCTAGGATTATGGTCCAGCATGCACAGGTCCTGGTTCAATCCTAGATACTAGAGAGAAAAAAAATCATTAAATAATATCTGGGATTTTTTTTTTTTTTTTTTTTTTTTTTTTTTTTTTTGCTGTTTTTGTTTATGAGAGAGAGAGAGAGCAACTTTATGGAGGATTCTTTTTCTACCTTTAGGTGGATTTAGGAAATTGAACTGAGGTCACCAGGCCTGCATGGCAAGCACCTTTGTGCTTGCATCTCCACTTAGCATCTCACGTGTTTTTAAAGCTGTACTAAGATCTATATGATACTCCAATCTGATAGAGAATATGAAATCCAAAATCTTCTGTTGGGAAAAACAAGTCCCATGTTGGCTTGGTTTAGCATTCCGACAAGTAGTGAAAGGAACTGTGTCCTCCTGGCCTGCAGGCCAGGGAAGTTTGTAAGTGTGTCTTGCCCCTTTAAGACCAGAGGCTAGAATGAACTGGTTGCTAATGAGTCATAATGATAACTCTCTCAGGTGGCTCACCAGCCACATGCAGTTTTTATCTGACCAAGCCAGTTCGGAGGAGTTGGACTTCTCTCTGTTCATTGGTGAGAGATGGGGTTGTAACTGTCTAGGCTTATTTTCTAAGATCAAAGTGCCCAAGCTCTAGATAAAGGATCAGTGCTCCTCAGTTTAGGCTCTTTTCTACCCTACAGGGCACACAGAGTTTACTGAGAGTGGAGATTTTCTTTGAAATGAGGTCCTGTGTGATCAGCAATATTTCTGAAGCCCAAGGAATGACTAGAAGGGGAAAACCCTTCTCTGCTGAGAACACCTCTGAACCCTGTTGCTCTTGTAACTCCTGCTGAAAAATACACGTGTAGCCAGTGTGACTCACTAGTACTGTGGACCCCTTTTCAGGTTTCAGGGATCCAGGATAGCAATTAGGAAGCCCCAGTAACCCCACTCAGACAGAGATGCTAACCTCCAAATTCAGAATCTGGAAGGAGAATGGTGCAGAAGCCCACACCGTGACCTGCTCACACACACCTTCGTATTTAAGCCCTTCTGCCTGAGGCCCGTTCTCCAGGGCAGGGAGTCATCTTGATTGGTGTCTGTCACTGCAGGAGATGGTACTTTGGACATGAATATACTAGACGACCTTGAGTCCCTCAAGTTTGAATATGGGATTCCAGAGGAGGAGCGTTACTGGCTATATTTGAAGGGACGGTATCGGGGATTGATGACCAAGGGCTGTGCCCATGCAGCCTTCTTTTGCAAACTGCTCTGTACTTTGAGGTAAGCTAGTTGAGGAAGACACAAGCATCACTGCTGGGAATCCAAGGGGTGTATGCTTTTTATATTGGAGATTTAAATCTGGTGGGAGAATTGTTTTTCTATACTTTCCAGTCCATATTCAACAACTTGTGGTCTGACATGACCAGCAAAATTCATACAGGGGTGTCTTGTGTTTACATAGTAAAGCCTGGACTGGTAGTGATTTTTATTCAGAGGGCAAGGTGATTTATTTCCTTCATTTATTCATGCATTTACTCACTCATGCTGCCAGCGTGCCTTTCACAAAATAAATGACTAGTCATTATTTGCCTGTTGCTCCAAACAGAGGCAGTTGTTTCTTCTAAGACTGACCTGATAGTGGGTGACAGGAAAGCCACTTTGGACTTTGGGGTCTCTACAGCCAGATAACTTGCTTGAAACCAAGAATATTGGACCAGGCGGTGGTGGTGCGGGCCTTTAATCCCAGCACTAGGGAGGCAGAGGCAGGTGGGTCTCTGAATTCCATGCTAGCCTGGTCTGCAGAGTAAGTTCCAAGGCTTCTAGGACTACACAGGAAAACCCTGTCTCAAAAAACAAAACAAAAAAGAAAGAAAGAAAGAAAGAAAGAGAAGGAAAGAAAGAAAAGAAAGAAAGATAGAGAAAAGGAAGAAAAGAAATGAAATGATGTCAGGTCACCTTAGTCCATTTTCTGGCACAGACAACCTAAATTATTGGAAAGAGGAATAATGCAAAACAAGCTACAGACTCAGTAGGAAGCTATCCCATGCAATGTCTTTATTCCATTTGTGAATCACTCACCCCTCAGAGGTTCCATTCCCCAGTATTGTTACAGGGACAATCAATTTTAATGAGCTTGAAGGAGGATACATAGCATATCTCTATGGACTAGAAGAAATGTTTGCAAAATGAAGGAAGTTAAGCAGAAAAATAACATGTAGGATAGATCAGCCATAGGGGGAAAAGTTAAACAAAAAACTGGGTTTTTAAAAGTATCAACAAGGGGCTGGAGAGATGACTCAGTGGTTAAGAGCACACTGGCTGCTCTTCCAGAGGGTCTGAGTTCAATTTCTAGCACCCACATGGTAGCTCACAACCGTCTATAATGGATCTGATGCCCTCTTCTGTCATGCAGGTGTACATGCAGATAAAGCACTTACATACATAAGCAAATAAATCTTAAATAAACAGATAGCTACATAAATGAGTAAACAAAAACAACAACCCTTATCTAAACTAAAGAATAAAGAATGGAGTAATAGACACAGAAGAGGAGCTATGACAGCCAATGGTGCAGGAAAGGAGGATTGTCAAGAAATTGGAAAATATCCATGCAGTGGAAAACCTTAGAACCTGTAAAGACTAACCATGCCGGCCAAAAATATGAACCAGAAAGGACATAGAACTGCTAATCAGAACCTCTCAACCAAGGAAGTCCCAGACCAGATAGTTTAAAGCTTGAAGAATTAGCAATCTTGGCCCAGGGAGATGATTCAGCAGATGAAGCACTGACAGGCAAAGTTGGGAATCTCAGTTCAGATCTTCGGCACCCAAGTAAATGTGAAAACCCACCTATGCCTGGAAGCCTTATCTCATCTTTCTAGAGGTGAAGGTAATATGGTGATCTGAATGAAAATGAACCCAATGGTCTCACAGGGAGCAACACTATTAGGAGATGTGGCCTTGTTGGAGTATGTGTGGCTTTGTTGGAGGAAGTATGTCATTGGGGGCAGACTTTGAGGTCTCAGAGGCTCAAGCCAAGCCCAGTATGGCATTCTCTTTCTGCTGTCTGCCCATCTGGATGTAGAACTCTCAGCTGCCTCTCGAGAATGTCCGCCTGCATACTGCCATGCTTTCCAACATGAAGATAATGGACTAAACCTCTGAACTGTAAGCCAGCCCCAACTAAAACATCTTTCTTTATGAGAGTCGCTGTGGTCATGGTGTCTCTTCCCAGCAATAGAAACCCTGAGACAGACCATAAGATGGCTAAGCTGACCACCTAAATCATGGGCTCTGGGATCACTCAGAGGTCTTACCTAATTAAGGTGAAGGTCAGTCAAGGGAGATAACCTTGGTGTACACACAAGCATATGGACACGCAGTGCACACACGTAACTATACATGCAGCACACATGAAAAAATTAATCCCTTTCAAACTCTAGCAAAAAAATGGAAGAGAGAACACTTTTAAATTGATTTTAGAGGAAGCTGATGATACTTTGAGAAAGCTACCAATCAGTGTCCACTGCTGACGAGTACTAATGTGAAAATATTCAACAAAATGTTAGCTAGCCGAGCTCAACATTACATTAAAAAGATTGTGTATCGCCTGGCAGCGGCTGTGAACACCTTTAATACCAGCACTCCGGAGGCAGAAGCAGGTGAATCTCTGAATTCCAGACCAGAGGGAGTTCCAGGACAATCAGGGCTACACAGTGAAACCCTGTCTTGAAAAACAAAAACAACAAAAAGATTATGTACCATTAACAAGTGGAATTTATTCTTGGAATGCAAGGATGCTTCAACATGCAAAATCCGTGTGTAATGCATTGGTATAAGGAAGGTTTTTGTTCTCAATGATGACTTTATAGGTGTAGACAAAAGACTAGGAAGCAAAGCCTCATTTGGAAGAGGAAGCGCTTGAGAAAGTGAAAGTGTGAGCAACCTCGTGGGAGGACCACACAGATCCATTGGCTTGTCGTTCTTTATGAACTTAGATGTTGACAAGAGGGGAATGTTTAGTGGGAATCATTTGACTAGCTCCACCTTTTATGATGCTTAAGTTGTATAACCTTTCCTCGGGCTTGCTACTGGGTCTCCCAGTTTATCATTTTCGTTATCTATAACATACACATGATGGCTAATCTTGGTTGTCAGTTTGACTACCTGAAAGCCTAGTTGCCGGGCACTCCTGGGATCTTAAGCAAGCACTTTGAATCGGGAAGACCCACCCTACGTTGGGGCCACACCTGGCGGCAGTGCTCAAACGAGAACTCGGAAGAAGGAAACTTGGCTTTTTGTCTGCTTGCCCTCACTCTCCTTCTAAAGTTTGTTTATCCTAGTGCGGAGGCCAGTATTCAAATCCAACTTCTTCAGGATTCCACCGCACACGGACCAGCGGTTCAGCAGGAATCCTCTCCAGGGCCTGATTTGGATTGTGGAGATACCTAGCCTCATGGACCGGATAGCTATTAATCTCAGCCTTTCTGTTGTGAGACAGCCACTGGTGGACTGCCAAGACCACGCTCTGTAAGCCAGTTTAGTAAGTCACACACACACAATCCAAATTAGTGATCTGAAGCTATAGGATCTACGCCGTGTGTCAGTTTTCCTTTAACTTACCCTTGTTGGTTGAGTACCAGCGGTGGAAGGTTGTGTACCGGTCAGGCCCCAAATGCGCTTATTAGGGAACTGCGCATGCGCAGGAGTTTGGGCCTCAATGGTAATTTTAAAAATCCAGAAGAACATCCATCAGGGAGGTGAAGTCTCTTTTCTATTTAGATGAGACAGAGAGCGGTTTGCCCTCATTTTGTGTGAAATAAAGAGGAGATAGTTTAACGGGGGAGTTCGTCACAGTCTCTGGTTTCCGACTTTCTGCCTAGAGACCTTTTTGCCGCACCACATGAACCGAAGGAAAAACAAAAGTCACATGATTTCAGTCGATGCAGACAAAGTAGCTGACAAAAGTTAGCAGTATGCCAGGATGACAACACTTAAAATCTGGAGGGAAATTACTTCAGTATACTAAAGGCTGATAAAAGTGCAAGGTAACAACATATTTAAAGCTGAAAGCTCTTTCCCCAAGACCAGAAGCAAGGCAAGGACTCCCACTTTCACCACTTCTATTCACTATAGTCCTGGAACTTATAACTGATACAGTTAGGTTTAAAAATAAAAGTTGGACAGTGGTAGTACACACCTTTAATCCCAGCACTCAGGAGGCAGAGGCAAGTGGATTTCTGTTAGTTCCAGGACAGCCTGAGTGACAGAATGAGTTCCAGGATAGCCAGGGCTATGCAGAGAATCTTGTCTTGAAAGACAAAGCAACATGCATGGTTCTTAGTTGGACTATCAGTCTCCAACTAAGCCTGGTCCCAGGTATTTTGGCTCTGTTGTTCTCCTCGTGAAGTCCCTCCCCTCCAGGTCTTTCTATCTCCCTCTTCTACAAGGATTCTGACACTCTGCCCAAAGTTTGGCTATGAGTCTCAGGATCTCCTTCAATACCCTGGAAGTTAGAGTCTTTCAGAGGTCCTCTGTGGAAGGCTCCTGTCCTATTCCTTGTCTTCTCCTACTTCTGATGTCTATCCTGCTTACCCTTCTGAATGAGGATCAAGCATCTTCCCTAGGGTCCTCCTTGTTGTTTAGCTTCTTTAGGGCTATAGATTTTAGTATGTTTATCCTATATTATATGGCTAATATCCACTTATAAGTGAGCATTGAGGATCTAGACCCCCTGTTCAATGGAAGCCCATTGGCTGCTCAGTTTCCAAGTGGGTTTTCTAGTAAGAAGTACAGGTGCTGTCTCTTGACATGAACTCAGTGACTGGCTCTTTCATCTCCTCCTCCTGGGGGGTACAGCCATCCCAGGCCACAGAGAAAGATGATACAACCAGCCTTGATGAGACCTGATAAGCTAGGGTTAGAGGGAAGGGGAAGAGGTCCTCCCCTGTCAGAGAACTAGGGAAAGGGCATAGGGGGAGAAGAGGGAGGGTGGGTGGGACTGGGAGGAGATGAGGGAGAGGGCTGCAGCAGGGATACAAAGTGAATAAATTATAATAAATAAAATTAAATTTAAAAAGAAAATTAAAACAACAGCAACAGCAAAATTCAGTATGTACAAAGACCCCCTGCAACTCAGCAATAAACTTGATAACCTGATTTTTAATCTAAGACTTCTTCCAAGGATGTATAGAAATAGCCAACAGGTCTATGAAAGGATGTTCAACATTGACAACCACTAGGAAAATGCATATGACAACTACAAGATGTTTCTTCATACCTGTTGTCAACTTGACATGACCGAGAATCAACTAGATTACTTAAGTTAGGTCAATTGTGGTGGAAAGATCAAACTCAACTGTGAGTGGTGCCATTCCATGGGCTGGATCGTGAGTTGAGTTAAAAGGAGAACGTGAGGCATGCACTAGCATTTGTCATGCTGGTTACTGACTGCAGACACAATGTGACCATCTCTGCAAGTTCCTGGCTCCATTAAGTTTCTTACCACGGTGGACTATACTCCCAACTATGAGAAAATAAATAAGTAAATAAACCCTTGTGGTGGCTCATATGTTTGAATACTTGGTCTCCAGTTGGTAGAACTATCTGAGAGGGATTAGGAGGTGCGTCCTTATTGGAGAAGGTGTTTCTCTCTCTGCCTCTTAGCTGCTACTAGGCCAGTGCCTCCTTGCCTACTGATGCCGTGCTCCCCACCATGACAACATTCTAACCCTCTGAAACCATGAGCCTCAAATTAAATCATTTCTTTTTATAAGATGCCTCAGTCGAGGCATTTTGCCATGGCAATAAAAAAGTAGCTAAGTCAACCCTTCAGATATTTTCATTAGGTATCACAGCAACGAGACAAACTGTTAATACAATGGATAAACAAGCTGTGTGATATATATCAATCGTGGTGGCTCACACCTGTAATCTCAGCACTCAGAAAGCAGAGGCAGGGAAAACAGAAATTTAGGGCCAGCCTAGGTTACATGAGATTCTACAAAACAAACTGTGTCTATATGCATACAAGGAAATATTGCTATTAGGCCTCAAGAAGAAAATTTGATAAGCTAGGAATTGGATGAAGCTTGAGGACATGATCCTAAGTGTAAAATAAAAACGCTGCATGATTCCGCTTACATGATGGAAGCTAAAGTAGTCAGAAAACAAACAGTAAAATGATAACTGCCAGATGTGGAGAAGGAAATGAGCTGTTCAGGAATATAAAGTTCCTGTTTTGCAAGGATGCAAAGGGACTAGATATCTGTTTCACAACAATATGCATAGACCCAAACATACTGTATACTTAGGGACAGTGATGATACATTCTAGTTGACAGCTCTCTGCCCAGAAAATAGACCAGAAAGTTAAGAGAACTAGTCCACAGTAGGCTGTAATCACCATGTGGTGTTTAACATAGTGATGTTTAAGGTTAATGAAATATGAGCTAATCAGACCTCATGTTTCAGGACCTAGGAAAATGCAAGAAACATAAAACAAAACAAAAAATATTTTCACTGATAAAATATTTTCACTCAGTTTCAGTCCCTTGGAAAAGGGATGTGCTTTTTCATGACGAAGGTTTTATTTCCTAGTAAGGCTGTATAAAAGGCCAACAGTTGAAATGCCTTGTTTTTGAAGTATTACATTGCCCTCAGGCTTCCACATTGAAAAAAAACCTGGAGAACCTTAAATACTGCTGGGGAAAACTATAGCATGTGCATCTATTCATGTGTATATGTTCATTCTCCAGAGAATTATTGCATGGGAGTTCAGGCACAGTAGATTCCCGGTCTGCAACATTTAATGCTGCCAGTGCTGAGGATGAGAAGATAAAGGTGGGCATCATTGGAGGTGGCCACCTTGGAAAGCAGCTGGCTTACGTACTGCTGAGACGTGTCCCCATCCCTGCTGAGAACCTGTGGATCTCCACACGGAGGCCAGAGTCCCTGGGTGAGGAGCAGTGAGTGTCAGAACAGTAGCTGTGGTGCTGGGTAGCCTTATCAAGGCTATCTTAAGAGGTTCCCTTTAAAGCAGGGATTCTTTCGATTTTAACCTTACGATTCATGACAGCAGCAAAATTACAGTTGTGAAGTAGCGACAAAATAATTGTATGGTTGGGGGTCACCACAACATGAGGAGCTGTATTAAAGGGTTGTGGTTTTAGGAAGGTTGAGAACCGCTGATCTAGAGAGAAATATGGGCGGCATGGGTATTATGCGCTTGTCAAAACTGTTCAGACTGTAGACTCTGTGTGGTAATGCATGTAAATTAGACTACAATAAAATGCAAAACAACAGTGCAAAGCAGTATGCATATTGTAGAAAAATGACCTTTTTAAGGAGGAATAATCACCCATGTTAACCTTATGTAGTCTATTGTTTCCTCTTCTCTTCCTCTTCTTTTTCTTGAAGTATATCAGAAATTGATACTGTACCTAATTGTATCCTTTCTTTCCTTCCTTCCTTTTATCCTTCCTTCCTTCCTTCCTTCCTTCCTTCCTTCCTTCCTTCCTTCTTCCTTCCTTTCTTGCTTGTTTGCTTTTTGTATCGTGGTGTTTTACTTGATGCATTGAAAGTGTGTTTTGTATCACTTAACAGTCTTTAAAGATCTGTAAGCAGCTTGCTTGTTATCAGCTTCTAAATCAATGGCTCTCAACCTTCCTAACGGCCACCACCCTTCAATGCAGCTCCTCATGTTGTGCTGGCCCCCAACCATACAATTATTTTTGTTGCTACTTCATAACTGCAATTGTGCTACTGTTCTGAGCCATAATGTAAACATGCTGATATACAGGATGTCCGATATGTGATCCCTATGAAAGGATTGTCCAGCCGCTAAAAGGGTCACTACGCAAGAACCGCTGCGGCATGCACATCGAAGAACGGTGCCGCCTGCTCTCTCGGCGCTGTCTGATGTGTAACCACACACATCATGACGAGTAACCCAGCACCGCTTTTAACCCTTTTGGTCATTGGGATGAGCACTTACCTTTCCAATATCTTTCACATTCCGCTTTTTAGTAACACTTAAGGCACACCAGCTGGAAGTGTACATTTTAAATCCTTAAAATGTATTTGATGTATTTAATGTAATGTATTTAAATATGCATTTGAAAATTCATACTGCAGAAAGGATAATCAAATAGTTAAGTACCTGTGTGTTCAGTGAAGTTGTATGAGCTGATCACACACACAGAGACTCCACATTTATGAATGTCTTACTATTGTTGTGTATACATTAACAAAAACTATTAAACCTTCCACAACTCCTCCCAGTTTCTATTGCACATTCTCTCACCCTTCTAATTTTACCCACCAACTCAAGCCGGGACATATATAACTTTCAATGAGTCATATAACATCCCAGAGCCTCAGTTTGCTCATCTGTAGTACGGGAACCATCCTCACGGGTCTCAGAAGTTCCTTGTGAGAATCACCTTAAACAATACATGGAGAGCACTGTAGACGTTCTCTGGCAGGTGCTAACTCTGCAGTAACTGGAATCAGAATGCTTCTCAGAGATTTTGTTTTCTAGCTTACATTTAAAAAAAAATAAAGAAAAAAGAAAACGTCTAGCATTTGTTCTAAAACCAAGACAGAAGGACTCATGCTACAGGTGTGCGCTCTGCTGCAGTGGCGCCTGCTGCTGTCGCCAAGGGGAGGGGGTCTTCTGTGTGTTGCTCGGGAAAAGCCCGGGAACAGCTTCTGGTTTCTGTGGCAGCATGACTAAGGTACCCTGCTGCAACACAGTGACCACCACCCTCTTCCCCACGGCTGATGTTCGGGTCAAACTCCTGTGCTTTGTGCTTTCCCCCTGCCAGCTGAGCTCCAGAAGCTGGGCGTCCGGTGCTCCTGCGACAACCCTTCTCTGGCCAGCTGGGCCAAAGTGTTGTTCCTCTGCTGCTTGCCGGCTCAGCTGCCCAACATCTGCCTAGAAATTCAAAACAAGCTCGAAAGGACCTGCCTGGTGTACAGCTTTGTATCCGCCATCCCGCTACCCAGGTATCTTATCAAAGATGAGAACAGAACCACAGCGAACCCTGCTGTTGGCTTCACTCCCCGAAGCCCCGGCCAGCCTGGCTGATTCTATCTCTCCCCCCC